CCTCTATCTTGTCTGCATTTCCTCAAGCTTTTTTAAGTCCATCCATATCTGTCCATTGTCTCTGGGCTAATACTCAGAGCCAAAAGATCTCAGGATGGCAACTAGTATTTTTGTTCCACTTGGCAGACATCCGGTTCATCTGGACTAACACAACCAGAAAAAAAGCAGCATCTCTGCCAAAGTAGGGAATTTGGGCCGAAGGAGCTGGGTTACCCCACGGAGGGACCCCCCCCCCCCCCCCCCCCACCTGGATCTCAAGCCCATGATTTCTGATGCTATCAGAAAACAGCCTGGAGAAAAGGTCATTCTTTTCCTCTTTGCCACAGTTCATAAGCTTGCAAAGTGGGTCTGGGAAGGCAACAACAGCATTCAACAGCTGGAGGGGTAGTGTTATCACTTTGCTGACAGAGAGCAATGAACTCAGCAGCTGGGAAAGAGGCGAGTTATTTTTTAGACCAAAGCTCCCAAGAATGTCTGAAACTCATGTAAGCTGGTTCCATATTCCTCGGCCCATCACAGAAGATGCTTGGGCCAAGCCAACAGGCTTTGCTGACAGTGTTGGAGGCCACGGAACGAGGTGGTGGGTCAGCAGCTCCACTGGAAATCCCCAGTTCCCCAGATGCCTGCCACAACATGACTCTTGGTTCCTGCATCCACAGACATCACACTGACAGGTTAAAAGGGCAGAGACCAGCTGGAGAAGGTGCCCAGGTCCCACCAGACCTTTCTTTCACAGAGGAGTAGGGCAGCCTCTGCCCTTTGGAGGGGGCCTCAAATAGGACACCCAGACCCCTCTGAAGGGCCACACATATAGCTCGCACCTACACCACCTTGACGACTCCAGGGGGTCGCTTGGGGGAAGTCAGGGCAATCTGAACTCAGCTCCCCCCTCCCAATCACTCAGATCACCCCTGAAGTCCAATAGCCTCAGAGCAAAGAATGCACCTTCTCGACCGGAGGGCAAACACCCTCTCAGCAGGGCGCCCCTTTTCCTATCTCTGTGCTGGGGCTGATGAGACATTGCCTGATCCACAAGGTCACAGGGGCTGTTGCAGAGCATGACAAACCAGCTAGGGCTGTGGGACCCCATGAAAGACAGAAGCTGGTGGGGAGCAGACGAGGGCCACCTCAGGGCCAGGGAAAGGAGCCTACATGTCCACAGGCTGGACAAAACGAGCTGGTAGCTCCCATCCCAATTTCCAGCTTATTGCCACCTGTCCAGTTCTTGGCTCTGCTCCCTCCTCGCACTGAAACCCACCATTAAATAAACAACATGAAGAAGACAGGAGGAAACAGGGGTGATCAAAGAACTGCAAGAGGAAGAACCACCTCAGTTGAAGAGTAGCGTGGGGCTGTCTGTATGCAGTCCCACATTAGTAGCCTGGCTCTGCTCGTTAGCCTGGCAAGATGACATCCCCTCAACATTGAGCCTGGGCCTCCACATTACACCAAGCTGCTGTTTATGTCCCATGTCCCAGATGAACCTCGGTGAGAAAACAGTAACCCCAAGATACTTCCCCCCCTTCTCTCCTTGTGCCAGCACCAGAAGCCACCATCACAGAATCACACAATGGTTGAGGTTGGAAGGGACCTCTAGAGATCCTCTAGTCCAACCCCCCTGCTCAAGCAGGGTCCTCTAGAGCATATTTCCCAGGATCGCGTCCAGGCGAGTTTTGAATATCTCCAGCGAAGGAGACTCCACCGCCTCTCTGGGCGACCTGGTCCAGGGCTCAGTCACCCTCACAGTCGAGAAGTTTGTCCTCACGTTCGCACGGGACTTCCTGTGGTTCAGTTTGTGCCCGTTGCCTCTTGTCCTGTCGCTGGGCACCACGGGGAAGAGTCTGGCCCCGACCTCGCAACGCACCCCCCTCCCTTCAGATACTTGTACACATGGATCAGGTCACCTCTCAGTCTTCTCTTCTCCAGGCTGAACAGGCCCAGCTCTCGCAGCCTTCCTTCATAGGAGAGATGCTCCAGTCCCCTCATCATCTTAGTAGCCCTCCGCTGGACTCTCTCCAGTAGTGCCATCTCTCTCTTGTACTGGGGAGCCACGTCTCTCTTGTACTGGGAATTGGACACAGTACTCCAGATGTGGCCTCACCAGGGCAGAGTAGAGGGGCAGGATCACCTCCCTCGACCTGCTAGCAATACTCTTCCTAATGCAACCCAATCAGATTTGTTTGCTCAGCCTGAAGACTCAGCATTCCTGTCCTTCCTTACCAGATGCCATTCTCCCTCTACAGATAGAAACAGCCACGAAAGCAGGTTTTTCAGAGAGGAAAAAAAAAAAAAAAAAAGAAAACCTCTCTCCTCTTCAGGGAGGCGGGGGAGAGCAAGCCACATCTCTGTCAGTCCCTGCTCCCCGTGCTGGCCTGCACGCTCATACAGAGCGGCGCTCCCACGGCAAAGCCCAGCTGCGTCAGCGAGCACAGACAGCACCTGCATTCAGCCTGCTCAAATCTCAGCCACATCGAAACCAACCTGGCATTACTGCTCAACATGGCCTGTATTATACAGAGAATAAGAATCTGGTATTTATTGGTACAACAAGAAGCCCCTTCCCATTATCTCAGTGTCTGGAAGGACACAAAACGCACATCCTTCCCACCGGATTGCCCACTGCTCAGGCCACAGAGAACCACATCCAATCCCTCCCTTGCTCTCACCCCAAAGAAGCGTCACAGTGACTGGTTTCCTGCAGAAATGAGAACTTGCATCCACCTGGAACCTGAAAAAACTTCCCTGACATTTCAGTGAGAAACATGAAAAAAAAACCTGTAGAAATGTTCCTGTTCCAAAACTTCTGTTCAGGTGCAATTAGAGGGAAAAAAAAGCACTTGGAAATCTAACCGGCTCCATTGCCCAGAGAGCCTGAGAAAGCTCAGCTTCATTTCAGCCATTCCCTATACTAGGTGAGAAACACAACGCAACCCAACAGTCCTAACATGGGACCAGAAAAATCAGGTGACTTCTGAAACTTCCTGCAGGGTTGTACTGCCATCTGCTCAAAACACAGCCTTCATAGCTCTTAATCTCTCTGCTTCCATTTTCTTCATTAGCTTTCTGCCTGGTTGTTTCCAAATGAGGACCATATAGGGTCCATACAGGATTAAGAGAAAAAAAAAAAAAACAAACTAGAAATCCCATTCTTGCTGTAGAGAATGACCTAGAAACAAGACGCACTTCTCTGTTCCTCCCCTCTACACGCTTAGCCCTTTCACATCCAAACACTTCTACATGCTGCAATTGAAACGAGTCATCTCCCCTTCATCACTAGTTCTCAGGGAAACCTCTCTGGGTCTCAGCTGCACAGAGCTCAGCCCAGGGCAGTCTCTCAGATCGTGAAACTCAGCATTGGCCGTTTGGCCCCTGCGAGCTTTTGTCTGGCAAAACAGCAGTCAGGAGGGATGAAGCAATTCCATTCTGCAGTCTTGGTTTCCTACCCTAAACATCACTCTATTCTTCTTTTTTACCTCAGGGACCCAGGGACTGAATGTGGCATTATCTAGCATGATAAAGACAGACTAAAGGCACAACCCCTGGTTCGGAGAGATGCATTGATCTTGGCAGTCCATGGAGACAGGCAATAAGCCAGCAGCTGCTCCCTGAGCCTTGGTTATTCTGAGCTTTGCTGGCCATTCTTCCTCCTAAACTCCCATTTCCCCCCTTCCCCCCCCCCATACATTTTTTGATTGAATCAGTTAAGACATTTTATGCTGGACTTTTCTCTCTTCCAATATTAATGTTAAACCCTGTCTTGAGCTTTTCTTGATGGTTCATAAGGAAGCTACAGCATGCTTCGGGCATGCTTGTGGGTGGGCACAATTGGCCCTTGCTAGTCCCAGAAGCCCTGGGGAACACCAACCAAGCAACCTGCATGCCAGCGTTCATAATCAGCACACTTATATTTTCGCAGCTTTTCCCTGCATTAATAAACCCAACACCAAGAGGATTGCTTGCGTCAGGCAGGAAACTACTTAAATAGAGCTTCTGCATCTTGCACCACAAAGAATATCTTCTTACAGGACAGCGTTTCTAATAAGTTCAGGTCATCTCTTCAACCAATGTACCTATCGCACATGAAGCGCCATCATCAGGTCTATCACATAGCATCTCTCCTCATAAACACTCTCCTCCTGCTGCTCCAGCTGCTTCCTAGAAAAAGAATTCCTGACCCCTCATCAGCCACAAACGTGCCATAAAATTCATTTTCCTCTCTGCGGCCTTCAGCAAATGCTCTCCTTGTACACCATCAGCACTGAGGCCATTCTCAGAGGAAGTGTGATCAACTACCTTGTTGCAGGATGACACACAATCTCGGGCTGAGAGCAGTCTTGGCATGAAAGCCACAATACTTGTACTTCTGGAGGCCAGGTAGACTCAGCCTCTCTCTCCTCCTGTGAATTATATGCAAAATATCACTCCTGCTGGACACAAATTATATTATTGCTCTCTGCTGAAGTTATTGAAGGCCATGAAAAGGATATTATTTCGTATGCCTGTCTGAAAGAGAAGCCATGACAAAACATGGTTAACTCAGCAAGCTTCAAAACATATATCTTTCAGTATCTGTAAAATGGGATTCCTGGGGCTTCATATTTGTTGCATCCTAATTCATCAACGAATCAATGTCTCTTTATTGGGGGAGAAGATTTCTTTTTTGCAGGTTAGCAGCACTCGGACAGACGGAGGCCTAAGCTAGCATATAACAGTCTTTCCTAATAGCAAGGACTGTGTAGATCATCTACTTTGCAAAAAAAGAAAAAAAAAAAACCCACCACCCCTGCAGTCAAAACTGCACTTGAGACTGTTAAAGGGCGGGATGTGTATAGAGTTTCCCTCTCCCCACCTTAGAGGATACAATACGACACTCCGATGTTCTTCCAAAACATTAAAGAGCAATACATGAGTACCAGCAGCAGTACAACGAGAACATAATCTATTTTCCTAAAAGTAACATTTATCACATATATTGGGTGTATCAGAGATGATGCCAGACTCCAAGTTATTCACGGGATGAAACACTTCTGAACCAAGAAAGTGACAGGACAGTCACACAGAGTGCCCTCACTGCTCCAGGCAGTTGCAGCAGAAGACATCATTACTTCCTTGGCAGCCGCTCCAGCTACAACTTCTCCCTTCTCTTCACATCTCCTTTCTCAGGCTTGGAAACCACTGGAAGAGACCACTGGAAGCAGCCAAGCGCGCAGCAGCTCCCAACGTTGCAGATGGTGAGGTAGGAGGGACATAGAGTTTCTGATGTGCCTCCTGGTCAGCTAGTCTACTGGCGCTGCAGAGGACAACTGCCTGCGTCTTGGGAAGGTCTTTGTTCTTCACTTTCTCTTTATCTGTGTAAGGAGGAAAACAGGAAAGAAAGAGGATATCTACAGGACAACTCCAATAGCTCTACCTTAGACTGCAAATCCCTTTTGCCTGGACCTTACCAAACCATGGTGCGAGGACTTCCCTACCACCCACCTACAGAGTGAGGCTGGCATGGTATAACCCAGGAGGATCTCTCGCTCCCCTCCCAGGGCTCACTCCCATTTCTGCAGAAGTGGGAAAGGAGACGTGAATCGAGTCACCCTGTCTGGAGGACTGGGCCTCCATTTCAGAGAGACAGGAGACAGCTCTGCTCCAAGGCACAAACAGGCACTACCTTAGGCGAGTCACTTAACACAGCTTCTAAGCTTTCACAAGGATGTTGTAAGTTTGCTCGTGATTCAGAGGATGGAAAGACTAAGCCCCCCCCCCCAGGTGGTCTTATAAGGTTAACAAAATATATACTTTTCTCCCTCATGGATGAGAGATTGAGAGATTCCCAGTATGAAACGAACACTCACTAACATACAGAGGCAGAGAAAAAGACATCTGCATGAAAATAGCAGAAAGTCTGGAAAAGACAACAAAAATCAGAGAGAGAAATAACCCTCATTTCATTTGTCCCAATTAGACATTTAGAAATCCATTTTGCTGCATCTCCATCCCACAGAAATGCCTACTCTTCCATCTGTTCTAGCAAAGAAGATGCACCACTCTTCCACCAGTCCTGGGAAACCCAACACTGACCGCAAGACACCAGACTGCTCAGCTTTCCTCCATGTTATATTCTATCAACAAATCTATTCGTACTGTTACATTGGTCCAGGATAAATGGTGTTGCCAGAAGCAGAACAGAGGCAGGTACAGCTTCAAGAAGCTGGGCCTTGTTAGAACATCTTTCTGTCTGATCAGGGTCATCTTGGCTCTTTTCTGCTGGTTGGCTGGAGGAGATGAGGGAGATGTAAAAGTCTTCCACTGGCTTGGATAAGACAGCAGGCTGTGAGGACTCTCCAAGAGAATGTGGTGTCTGCAAATGTATATAAAAAACTCAGGAGAGGTGTGATTAGTGCACGCTCAGTTCATTAGCTGCCCTGATCTTTGTATCCTTCAGAGTCCAAGGACTGGAATGTCAGCAACTTTTTTTTTTTTTTTGTTTAAATACTAGTTACTCACAACCTTGCCAAAGGGCAACTCTTCCTGCACAGCAAGCTGAAAGCGTGACAGCTTATTACAAGATGCAAACGACCATTTCTTAGCAAAGCGCTAGCAGCTGGCTGATCTCTCAGCAGCCCCACGCAGAACAAGTGACAGCAATGATGGAGGGAGTTTCTGCAAGGGAGTGGGAACCAAGTTTGAGGAAGTCCCTCCACGCTTTTGGTTAAGAAAACAAATTAAACTTAAGTTTCAGCGTCACAGACACTGACTATACCCCATGTTTCTATTTATTAATTCAGCACAGAAGGGAGAAACAGTGAAATGACAACAGACCACCAGTTGCGCAATTCACCTTGTCCAACCACAGCTGTTGAAAAATTAGGTGCCTGATCTCTAGGCTGCTTCTGCTGTCAACAGAGAGAGAAAGCCTCCCATCTTCAGAAGGGGTGAATCACCACTTGGATGCGCTTCTCTCATTGGTGAGAGGAGAGAGTGTTCAGATGACTAGCCCAGAACAAAACACTTAATTTTGCACACAAGTAAATTTAAGTAATGGGCACAAACTGGGCGCAACAAGGGGACCAGGAGGAGCTCCTGAAGCAGGAAAGACAACCAGATGGCTGGGCAGAAGAAACTCAGTGCTGACAAGATGCCAAGACAGAATCATTTGAGTGACTGGGGCATCATTAGAGTCCTATTAACTAACTACTCACCTCAATACCACCAGCCTACTGAAAACCTCTGCTTAACATGCAGTAAAAAAACCCAGAGTGTTAGAAGAAGAACAAATAGGGCTGAAGGATACTAAGCCTCTCCTCTTGCCACCCATGCTATCCTAGCTGGGGGACAGTAGTGTCCCTGCCCCTTCAGGCAGGGTAGAAACAGGTAGGGTGCAAGGGTGGACAATAAAAACCTCTGCAAGTACTGGAAAAGTCTAGGATGGAAGTAATTCAAAAAGACAGAGGCTATTCAGTTTACAGAAGGGACAAATGAGACAGGATACCCTACAGAGTACCGTGAAGGGCAGGAAGTAAGTAAGGCAATATCTACTCTTCGTCCTAATGCATTAAAGGGGACACCAACAGCATTTTGCGACGTTGCTTGTAGATCCACCGAGGCCAAGAGATGAGCAGGAATCAGAGAAAGGAAATCCTCCTGTCCTAATAGCTAGCCAGCTGGAGCACTTTCTTCTTAACGTCTAAGGCAGGATTTCCTCCCCCCCTCTCCCATAGTTTTCTTTCATAGACATTCTTGTCATTTCCTCTAAAGACCACCTCTTGTCATTTCCTCTAAAGACAGAGATCACCGCCAGAGACAGTGGGCCCAGGACTTCTCAGATCCAGTTAGGAAATTCCTATGCTTCTAAACCCATGCAGTTTAACACTTGCAGGGGAGTGCTTGAGTCACCTCTTGCAAGCTAACCACCTGCCTCCATCTCCTCTTCCTTGCTCCTCACACTTGCTATCACAAACTTCCTCTTCTCTCAGTGTCACTTCTCCTAGGCTGCTTCCTCTACAGTCCTTTCAGGTAACATCCCCTAGACCCACCATTTCTCCCAGCTCTGTCCTGGACTATTTCAAAGACACCTTTCCCCCTCATTCTTCTGAAAGTGCTTTGTCTCCACCCTAACAAACTTCAGTTACGTAAGGAGCTGTAATGATCCACAACCTTGTGGGCACACTCCCATTTTCGGCTTTGCAATGCCTTCTGTGGCTTAACCACGTCTGAGCGTTACTGGCTCCCTGCTGAACTCAAAGCAGAGCATTTGTAAAGGGCCATGCTGCAGGTTCTGTTGGACTCATCATTAACCACTATTTAAGACAAAAATGGACAACATCAGCTCCACGTAACACCTAGAAGCACACCGCTCAGTGCAGCCCCCCTAAACCCACCTTCCTAACTCACTGAGCAGGAAAAGGCCTGGGTAATGCACAGCAGCCCCACAGTAACTGCCAGAGTTCAGGCCTATGAACCCCTCTGCACTCATAGTCTTCTAGAGCTAACACAGGGCTTGCTCCCTCACCAAAAAACCCTGACTTCAGCTGTGTGACATCAAATTTCAAGTGCACATGTCAAAACAGGCAGAGCAAGCTCTGCAGATTTGCTCCCTGGAGCACAGCCAGCGTGCCCACCAGGACAAGAAGCCACCTACAGAGCTGCTACGGGAGCTGAGCAATTTTTGTCATTCCCAGCTCTAGCTCACGCAACAGACACTGAAATTCTAATTATTCTTCCTCAGGAACCATCTCCTTGCGTTCACCTCTGTCTCTCTTGCCAATTGTCCCAGGAGCAGGGCCTCCCAGTCTCCATCTCTGACTAGGAGATAAACACGACGCATCCACGCTTCCCACAGAACTCTGGCTGAGGATTCATGTTTCTCTACAGCTCTCTGCCCTAGCCCCAGCAGTCCCACACTGCTGTCCTACAAGGAGCCACTTCCAGCCCACCGCATGGGGAGAAAGGAATGAAGGAGGGCCAGGTTTGATCTATAAAGTGCTGAAATGATCACTCTTGTTTTTGCAATAGCTTGCGGTGTGTCTACAGCATGAGAAAGTAGTGTCAGCGGAGCATGCACCAGCATACTACCGATGGCACCAGAAACAACAGCAAGGAAGAGGCAACAGTACTGCTCTGAGCTCATGCTAGTAACCAGGGGTCATTTCATTATTAGTTCCCTTTTCAAGATGCGTTAAAACAATCAAAGGCCTCTCAACAGGAGTAGCCAAGGAAAAGTGTCCTTACCTTAACCACTGTCATAAGCTCTGAGGTGTTTTCATTTGTATGCTCCTTTGTAAATTCAGGGTCTTCATCCGCTGCTCTTGGGACATCTACCTCATCCAAGAGCGACCACACATCATCCCACATCTCTACGTCAGCAGACAAGCGCCATTCCTAAGGAGATGGACAAAGCAAGAAAAGGCTCAGCCAGTGTGGGCAGAAGAAAGTGGAAGGCACTGCAGTGACTCTACTAAAGCACGGATTATAGAGCAATGAGATATCACCACGACAAGTTAACTGACAGGAGAGAGGAATTCTCTGTTCTCCTAAGAAACCGTGATACTTCTTTTTGGAGAAGTTTTAGAAACTTGGAGAGGACAAAAAGAAAAAGGAATGAAAGAAAAATAATCTGAACAAGAAACTACCTGTCACTTTAACTTCTCTCCTCCATAGTACAACTTGTATTTATTGAATAAAACTATTTTCCAAGTGGTAAGTTTTACTGTTATTGCAGCCTTCTGAAAATTTCATCAGGTAGAAGCACTCCAATCTAGCAGAGTGTCCAGCCATTTTGCACTTAAGGAGGATGGGCAAAAAAAAAGCAACAACTTGTTAATCCTGATGAGGGAAATCAAATTTGGCAATAGAAAGGGAGTTTCCCCACTGCTGAAAAACAGTTGCCAGAACATGCTAGTTCAGCAATAACAAGTGTCACATTAGACAAGTTTCAGTTCAGACCATTTTTGAATCATACTTCCCAGATTTTCCCATCAGAAGTCAGAGCATAGAGTCAAGAGGAGCTCAAACAGAGGACGTTTACAACTCTCCAAGATAATCTTCTCAAGGCCATTACTTGAACCTAACCTGCTGTATTTGCTCTTTGTTTTGCTGGTTCTCACTTCCTCCTTCGTCACTGACAGGCTGGCTGGAAGATGCCACAGCATCCAAACCCACAGCCTCACCACTGACACAGGTGTCCTTCTCAACGGCTTGCAGAGGGAGCTCATTCTTGTCCCAGAAATCTGTGTCCATGTAGACTGGCTCCAGGTACGGCATCCCTGGAGAAAGGTTTGCTTCATCCTAGAAAGTTTTCCGACAGAAAAGGAATCTTAGTAGTAAGTCTCTGGAGTAAGAGATAAGTTCAGAGCCATTTAACTGAAGGACAGACTAGAATTAATCACATCAGGACTTCCACGCTTCAAACAACAGCTTCATCTCTTCTGTTAGAGAAGTGGCTCTGCCACTTCTCTAGAGTTAGTCACAAAGATAAATCACTGCACATCCATGCTCAGAACCACAGCAACTCTGTCCCCAGATAAGAAATTTCAGCTTAGATATACAACATTTGATTCTTAGACATCTCATGGAGGTTGCTCTTTTTTGCAGATAAGCTAAACTCAATTTCTCAGACATTACAATCCCCCTGGCCCTCACCTTCACTTACCAGTATTTACGCTAATCTGATATATTTTTAATGACAAATTAATCAACGAACACCCACTAAATACTCATTGTACCCAGCAAAACAATTAACTGTAACATTCTAACTGCTGAAAGGTAATTTGTGACGCTTGAAAGCGCTGAATCACACCCTACTTCTACCATTACACGCACAGACTCCAGGAAGATGGGCATCCCATTTTTTAAGGCAATGCATATCTATAATAAAGTGAAAAGTCCCTTTCTGCAAAGATTCAGTACAAGATGCAAGGTGGATTATTCTCTCCTTTTTATAGCTGAGTAACCAAGGCTTAGGAAGATTAAATTACCCCTCTGAAGTCATCTGAATTGCCTACCAGAGGGCCAAGAATCAAACCCAGATTTGCAGAGCCTCGGCCACACTCTTAAGTGCAGGATTAAATATCAATTTCTTCCAAATACATAAGTTAAGATGTTGATTTGGGACCTTCAGTTCAGATGCTACGTTAATGAGCAGGGCAGGGCCATTAATATCTAAGATCAACAGCTTATACAGTTTCTCTAGTACAGAAACTCAGGCTGTTAAAACAAAACTTAGGTAAAATGAGCACCTTACAAGTTACTAACATTCCACTAGCTTTTGCACCAATTTCAGTTTTATAATCTGAAAAACGCGCAGGAAAACATTCTTCCAACAGGCACACTGCTGAACACTTCAACAACCGACACCTACTTGAAAGGTGCTTTGGCCTCTGTCACGAAAATGCTATGATATAAATAATACAGGAAAGCAGAGAACACACTGGTACAGAATTGTTTATGGTGTTTCTAATGGCAGCACGTTATACTGGACTCAAGACCTGGGTTTTACTCCCAGCTTAACCACTCTGTTCATCAGTTTCTCCATATGTTAAACAAAAGAGAACACATCTTTTTAAAGTGCTCTGAAATCCAAAGATGTAAAGCAGTATCCATACCTGAATGTTATTTGCTGTTGTAGAGTATCTTTTGAATAAGACTATAGTTGTGTACAACCTTATCACCTGTAGCAGTCAGGATTGCAAGTCACTTCCTTTCAAATAAATTTAGAATAAGCAAGATCCTTAATGCAAAAAATAACAAATTTTCTTCTGTTCTTCTCCCACATTTGAATGACACCCCTAATTATCGCACAGCCTTTGCCAAACTCGACTGAAGTGAGGGGAAGATGCACCGCTTCTCAGCTACAGGAGGTGCAAAGGGGAAAGTGTTAAGTCAAACTGATCTCAAGAATCGGGCAGGGCTGTGAGTTCTTAGGAGAGTCCATTCATACAGGAGCTGTCAAGATAACATGACAGACTGAGGCCAGAGGAATTCAGTGAGCAGACAGCGGGCAAAGGGATCAGAGAACAAGCATCTAGATAGGTATTTGTGTTCCTCATGCAATGATTTTTATATTATGGTCCTGCTTGCCCTTCTTAAAAAATATAATAAAACAAAAAACCCCATCCTCAAACTGCAAGGGACTAAAATGACACGTGTCTACCAACCCTTGGTGCTGAGTTCACTGCATCATAGCTACAGCACAGACAAATGCCCACCTGGTCACACAGTTCACCCCTGTCGAGCCTGGAGCTTGCAGTTCCGCTATCTGTATCTAGTGATTCCTGCTGCAAGTGAAGATCTGGCTCCACCAGCCCAGCACTCTCCTGCTTTGCACTGGGCTGAACATACAAGGCCAAAGGATTCAGTTCCTCGAATCCTTAGTAACAGGAAAAGAAGAAAAAAAAAATCCACAGACTAGTACAGGCAATAAAAGATTTTTGAAATTACCACAAAAGGATAAAAAAAAAACAGCAAGATTTCTAAGCGTTTTAAGAAGCAGCATACCACCCTCAAGTTAGCTCCAAATTCTGGCAGAAATTATCTTACTGCAAAAGTCAACTCACCCCTCTCCAACAACAAATTATTCAGCAACGTCTCCCTCCCCGCAAAACTGGATATCCCCATGCAAAACACAATCACAGGATATAGTCCTGCCAAAACACTCATTCTGCAGTCTGCTGATTAAAACAGATACAAGCACTCTGGGCTGTAAAGCCTGCCTTTCTGCTGAGCTATAAAATCACGGCCGTTTCTTTCTAATGGTTTTCATATCCCTACAGTTCTTATTGAAACTGAGCCGAAACATTCAAACAATAGCATAGATGGCTCTGAATTATCAGTGTCCCCTGCACTGGTTTTACAACCTGAGTGCCTGTTCAAGGTATAACATGCAATCCACCACGGTTATGCAGTCCATCATTGTGCAGTTTATTGGCCAAGTAGAAACAGTTTTAACCAAGACCTGTTTCATGTTTTAGTTTGTTAATGGTGTAAACACTCCTCCATGATTAGTGAAGACAAGGCCAGAAGAATTTGACTATCCTGTTCCTCACTCAACCGCCCCTGCCACTAACACTACTTGACTACTTAATACTAGAGTCTCATCAGCTTGCTCTTACTGTTTGGATGAATCGGGAGCCTCTTTTAAATCATGACAGGCAAAACTAGGTGAAATTAGCAATGGGTGGGCAAGAATCTAACACATCTCTTCACACTCGCTCCATGCTTTCTCAGTTTGGCCCGATGCTCAGAACATCTATGCCTATTTTACTTTTCCATATTATTTATAAAAAATATATAACAATTCCAGATGAATCTGTAATACTAACAAACTCAACAACTTCAAAAAAAAAAAAATCAAACCAAAACAAAAAAACTCCCACCTTCTAATTCAGCATTAGATGACAGGACTAAAATAATTTGTTCTATAAAACCAAAACATCCCTGTAACATCACTAAAAAGAAAGCTCTCACCATGGAGTTAAGACATGCGGGATGCAGACACAAGATGCTCAGTTGCAGGATACCAGTTTTGCTCGTCACAGAGCTACTTGTTTCAAAGAAAAGACTGTCCCATTATAGATACCCAACCCATCCTTTCACTGTTGTTTCTTTCAGCAGCACACACGTCCCTCCTGACCTGGCAAGGAATGTTCTCTCTGCAGACCTCAGCATGTCCTTTATCCTCCAAGACACTGTGGAAGTAAATATCCCCCTCAGAGGATGTGTCACACAAGAAGAGATACAAAACGCCATTCACATATTCATCCACAATGCCCACAAGTAGCTTTGAGCCACACAACTTCCGGAATTGGAGAGTTGCTGCATCGGTCCATGTACCCTCAAGAAGAAACAAGGATGAAAAGTTACTATGAACAATCCAGCATCAATTGCCTGACACCTTCCCTTATAAGCACTCGTCAAAAAGGCAATTAGGCTAAGTCAGGCTTAGGACAAAAACAAAAAAGTCATTCAGACAAGCTTCCCAACACTGAACTAAATCAAACTACTCAAATGCCTGCCACTGGGGATGCCCTTTCACTCTAATTATCTATTTTCAAACATGCTTACAATGGCACTCACTCTCTAAAATGCCAAGCTTTTTAAAAAAAAGAGTCCCAGTTTGCGGAATCATGTGATTATGAAAGCTAAAAGTCTTACAAGCTTTTAGAAAGCAACTAAGCCTCAGAGCAAAGAAAAGTGTGAATCTTTAACCTCCCAAAATGTAGGAAGGAACTGAAAATGCACTTAAAATATTATTTGTAAAACACAGGCAGCAAATCTGCTCGTATGTTCTCCTTTGGAGTCTGTGTTTCCAGGCTTTTTGATCAAAAGGTTTCTCAGCATAGGCTGAGTTCTGTAACTCTTTGCTGATTGCACCAAACTCATTCAAAACTAACTCATTTGAAGTGAGGTCATAGAAGAAATGTTAAAAACAGAGGAACCTGTGCTGGAGCCACCAAGGCTTCAAAAGGGTCATGGAGAACTACTGGAAAAGAAACAAGTTTCCTCATTTCCTTAACAATAGCTATCTGTTTCTAAAACCATATAAGCAAGAATACTCTGAACCCATATAAGACACACTGTGGAAAGGTGGTTACTTGTAAAGAGAGAGACTTACACAGTCACATTCTGCTGAACATAGGAGCAATTCTGCTATGAACATCTATGAGACATGAATTAATCTAAATGCTTGCCAATATTAAGATAGAAAACCAGCTGCCACAAAACAGTTCTCGTACATATGCCAGTAAACAAAACCAAACGTGAACACACACCTTCACGGGTTTCACCCATGCCAAGGAACACGGGATAGCCTGAGCAGGGAGCTTCAAGAAGCACCACCTAAAACAGAAACAAACTCATCATCATCACAGCAAACCACAGAGTGAAAACAGCTGGAATAGCAGAACTTCCTTTTCTTCTGGGTTTTAAAATCCAACAGTTACCTCTGTTCTTGAGTTGATTTTGCACTTATGAATAAAACTGATCAATTGCTTTGAAACACATGTCATATCCAGAGAATAGGCACAGCAGAAAAAAAAAATAGTGACCAGTCTCTTATGCTTTCCCTTACCCAGAGCATCTTCCCATCATAACCTCTTATGATTATCAAGTTATGGACAGAGAGCAACGACTGTTGAACCAAGGAATGCCAACGGCCATGTATGAAGAGAGGCAAAAGAGAGTGAAGAAAGAAGTACAGAAAAAAATACTGGGTTACAGAGGAGAATGAGTACCTCTGATGCTGCAAATGTAGCCCGTTTAGGCTGACATCCATTCATGAGGATGTTTCCATCCTTTCGCAAAACCCATGAAGGATTAGGTGACCCAAAATGACTGAAAAGTGGCAAAAGGCAAGGCTAAGGAATAAAAGCAGAAATGCAAGAGAATTTAGCCCAAGGTCACCCCTGGGTAACCTACTTACTTGAGGAATCTCAGCCAAGACTTTTGAACAGTGCCCAGGTTTCCAAAATCTGCGTAGAACACCTCCACTTCCTGGTCACTAAGCACACGGTGGATGATAACCCGGTACCACCATTTATCCTCAGAAATCATTACACAGCAAAGCTGTCCAGGCTGCACGGAGGACTCGGGCATGGTATAACGATCAGAAATGATTTTATTTGAATAGCAGCGTCTGCAAAACACCACACGGAAAATCTGTGCTTGGTAGGAAGCAGGAGGAGAGCAAAGAGAAATATACAGGGGCTTCAAAAGAACCCTGATTTCTTAAAGTCCCCATGACATGAATTTTCACGCATTCATGAAGTTCCACAAAGGCAAGTGCAGGGTCCTGCACCTGGGGAGGAATAACCCCAGGCACCAGGACAGGCTGGGGGCTGACCTATTAGAAAGCAGCCCTGCAGAGAAGGACCTGGGTGTCCTAGTGGACAAGTTAAGCATGAGCCAGCAATGTGCCCTTGTGGCCAAGAAGGCCAAAGGCATCCTGGGCTGCATTAGGAAGAGTGTTGCCAGCAGGTCGAGGGAGGTGATCCTGCCCCTCTACTCTGCCCTGGTGAGGCCACATCTGGAGTACTGTGTCCAATTCCCAGTACAAGAGAGACGTGGCTCCCCAGTACAAGTCGGGCATGGTATAACGATCAGAAATGATTTTATTTGAATAGCAGCGTCTGCAAAACACCACACGGAAAATCTGTGCTTGGTAGGAAGCAGGAGGAGAGCAAAGAGAAATATACAGGGGCTTCAAAAGAACCCTGATTTCTTAAAGTCCCCATGACATGAATTTTCACGCATTCATGAAGTTCCACAAAGGCAAGTGCAGGGTCCTGCACCTGGGGAGGAATAACCCCAGGCACCAGGACAGGCTGGGGGCTGACCTATTAGAAAGCAGCCCTGCAGAGAAGGACCTGGGTGTCCTAGTGGACAAGTTAAGCATGAGCCAGCAATGTGCCCTTGTGGCCAAGAAGGCCAAAGGCATCCTGGGCTGCATTAGGAAGAGTGTTGCCAGCAGGTCGAGGGAGGTGATCCTGCCCCTCTACTCTGCCCTGGTGAGGCCACATCTGGAGTACTGTGTCCAATTCCCAGTACAAGAGAGACGTGGCTCCCCAGTACAAGAGAGAGATGGCACTACTGGAGAGAGTCCAGCGGAGGGCTACCAAGATGATGAGGGGACTGGAGCATCTCTCCTATGAAGGAAGGCTGCGAGAGCTGGGCCTGTTCAGCCTGGAGAAGAGAAGACTGAGAGGTGACCTGATCCATGTGTACAAGTATCTGAAGGGAGGGGGGTGCGTTGCGAGGTCGGGGCCAGACTCTTCCCCGTGGTGCCCAGCGACAGGACAAGAGGCAACGGGCATAAACTGAACCACAGGAAGTCCCGTGCGAACATGAGGACAAACTTCTCGACTGTGAGGGTGACTGAGCCCTGGACCAGGTCGCCCAGAGAGGCGGTGGAGTCTCCTTCGCTGGAGATATTCAAAACTCGCCTGGACGCGATCCTGGGAAACATGCTCTAGAGGACCCTGCTTGAGCAGGGGGGTTGGACTAGAGGATCTCTAGAGGTTCCCTTCCAACCTCAACCATTCTGTGATTCTGGGAGGTGCAAAGGAACACAAAAGTTCCTTTTCTTACCTGATTTCCAGACTTTTCAAGTTTAGGACTGTCTAGGATATAGCCAGCCAAACGTGAATGGCTATTAACCATACTTTTTGCTTGCCAGTCAAAAGGAATAAGCAAGCATTACGCATGCATGTATGAGTACACTGCATGCATCCCCATATCAAGTTATTAAGCCAACAGTGACTGTAACTAACAGCTGGGTGTCCAGTTCTCTCAGCAGATGCACACACAGAACAGGCAGTAGTACCAAGTCAGCACAACATGTTCGCACCTCATCTCAATCATCAGATCCTGCAGCTTATCGGATGTTTCCCTGCTGTAGACCTGGATGTAGAACTGGCTAGGAGAGATGATGAATTCCACAAAGACTCCCACCAAGCAGCTTCTCTCCAGTGGTGGCAAGCTGCAAAGGCTTATGTTTTGAACAGCATCTGGGGGGATTTCTGAAGTCGTCATCTCCATGGCTAGCAGGGAGTACTCCAAACCTTGGGGCTACAATGGGTAAGAGGAAGGTTGCACTCAGATGTTTTACCAGGCACTCAACACACACGAACGGTCTTTCTGTTAAAGTAAGAATATTAGCTCTTGCTTCCTGGGGACTTGTGAGGTACTGAGTATCACAGAATCCCACCTAACCGTGCAAGCTCGTATTAAAACCTTCCCCATGACAGAAGTGTTCATTTTCACTCTTTCTTCCTCCTTCGCTCCCTCCAGCAAAAGAGAGCGGCAGAACAAAAATACCTTGCTCGTACTGCTGCAATGAATAAAGGAGGAGGAGTTGAAATCATGGCACAAATTTAGATAAAAGTGTTTTGAGTTGAATTGCTATTATTAAAAAAAAAGTACCATTTTTGTTGCATTTTACACAGAAGATGCTATTTATAAGATCTGTTCACTCATGCACTTTCATGGTCAACGGTAAAACTAATTGGAAATGGTTCAAAAGTGACAGAAGACACAAAAGCATCTTGTTTTCACACTCAGCAAATGGCTGTCACTAGAGATATTTTCCAAGGACAAAATTAAACAAAACCTACAAATCCTATTCTCTTCTCACGCTACACAAATCTGCCCACAGAAGCGAGCACAATTTTTTGTGCTGTTCTTCAAATGTTTTATGTTGAAAAAGGTTAGTTCATTTGAACTAGTGCAGAGGGGAACCCTGACAGTACATTAGCTGCTTTCACTGCCTCAAGAGCTTACTTTCATGCCAACAAACAGGGCTCCTCCAACGATCAGAAGTCAAACTGATTTCGTTTTCACTCATAGTGAATACACTACAAGTTACCTCTGTATTATACATCAGAGAATGCATGCAAACTTTGTCTTCCAGCACGCACACCACTGAACTGGCTAATTCAGCTGCAAATGACGCCTCTTAACAACGGTGGCTCTTTCAAACATTTTTTCAAGCAGATGACAGTCTCCTCCTCCGAGGCTGAGCAAGGGCTAATGCCCCGAGTTGTTTTTGAGTTAAACATTTTGAGTAAAACATTCAGTTAAACACTAAGTTCAGTTCAAAACGTGAAGGACAACTGAGGAAATTCTTGCCTGAGAAGCAGCATCACCTCCAAAAAAACCCACATTTAATGGATTTCCTCTAAGAAGTGCCTGCGGATAGTGACATTTCTGAGGGACAATTCTGCTCCCAGAATGCTCTTTATATTGTACTCTAAGGGCACACGTGACCTCTACAATCTAGTTCACACGCTGATAGCGATGACAGACATTTACGTGAAAGACGTAGGACACGTATACTCAAAAACAAGTTTACAAAAAGCCAACAAAGTTCTAAAAAGATAAAACAAAACAAAACAGTCTAAAGATTACATTTTAGGAGATTACACTTTCACAGATTACATCCCCCTCCTACGTGGAGGGTGCTTCTGCAGTATTATGGCTTGGGAGACTGCTTAACTCCTCTTCCTAGGCTGTGCTGGCAGACACAAGAGTGATGTCAACAACATCCTTCCTGTTCCTGCTGCTGAGTGCAGCAGCTCTGGATGCTTTCCTTTTCTCTGGGCTAAATGGATTGACTCAGCCCTTTTCCCTCACTTGTCTATTACAACACTTCCATTATTTGCCTCTTGTGGTGAGATACTTGGACATCTCATAACAGTGTGGGGATCAGGTCACTTCCTTCCCTCCTCCTCATAGCCTTCTGATTAATGTTTACATTAGATATCCTAACTGGCACACTCCAGCAAGCTTTCCTCCCCTTTAGGGCCTTTTTAAAAGCAAAATGGCAAACTTTACAGACTGTGTTTTCATAAGAAACATTAGTTGTACAAACATCTTCCAAGACTTATCTTGCTAGGAGCTTTGAACAGATTCTTTTTGTAATATATAAGAACAAAAATTTCATTTGAGGTTGGGATAACCAGCACCACACACACCCTTTTCTGCCCTTCCCACGTGCACATTTTATCTGACTTAGGGAAAATTCCTTGGGGACTTCATCACACCAAACTAGAATGTATTTAAAGGACCAGGGCAGCCTGCATAAATCTCAATGTCATACATGTTCACGTAATGCCACGTAAAGTCCAACTCCTAATCCCAGGCTTCTGAGATCATTAGCAAACAAAACAGTAAAGTTGGGAAGAATTCCTGGAATCTTTTCCCTACCTAAGTGTAGGGAGTTTGCGCTCCAAACTTCCAGTCGGACACAGCCACAAGACTAGGTTGGTCAGGGAAGTAACTCACATCAGGAAGATTTTCTGGGGAATGGGAAAGTCTAAAGATGCTTAAAAGGGGGAAAAAAAATAAAGGTGATTCAAACAGATTATTCCAATCAGACTGGGCAGAGACTTGCCACTGTACTTTCTCCATTTCCTTCTAAAAATACACTGCCAAAGAAAACCAAAACTCTCCAAGTCCAATTACATAGCAATGAGGACCAGGAATGGTTACAACTTAAGATGGTGAACAGTCTTATTTGCTTCCTTTAGTTATTATAGGTTTAGAAAGCTGCCTACAGTAGTGCTTTATGCTGTTTCACATTCCTCGTACCTGCAAAAAGAGCGTGCGTTCCTGAAATAATACAATAGCACAAAGAATAAGGAGAAAAGGAGGACAAAAGCACTTCACTACTTATTAAGGTAATTATGAAAGGACACAGGAGTAACACAGTGAACTAAAAAGACTCGTCTTGAGTAACGTATAGGCACGCAACATGGAAAAAACAAAACACAACAAAAACAGAAAACATCAAAGATGCATGTTTTTGAGTGGGAAATGCCCAAGAGCCAGTGCTATTCTCTTTGCAGCTTAACTGTTAGCTGCTGCTTTGCTTACTCACCGGTTTAAATGACTTTGTGACCACATTGAACGCTCTGCTTTGCTTCAGGTCCGCATCCTCAGGCTTTCCAGGAGAAGAGTTCTGGGAGACCTCAGCAGCAGGAGGGGGTGGGGACCAACACGAGGAGTTCTCACGCTCTGACTGCTCGTCTGGTGAAACTAAGAGCGCTACATCAAAACCTGAAGCTCATGCTTGTCCCACAGCCAAAGTTGCTCCTTTTTACATTTGAAAACCAGCATCAGCAAAGTGCATGTGTGAGAAGCAGAGCTAATGCAAGTGAGCATAAATCCAGTAGAGAAAAATCTGCACTGATGTACTTACTGGGATTTAACAAAGCCTAGCCAAACCTCTAACCAAGGGCACGGTGGCGCTTTTGAGAGAGCGTCAAACTACAGCGCATTCACCAAATCATTCTACTCTCATGCACGTTTCTCTCAAGTGGATGCCCTAAGCAAGGAAGACAGTTAAAACTGTTCCAGACACAAAGCACTGAGAAAAAAGAACCAAATTGTCTTCGCACACCCAAAGCAGAAACAGTAACACACACATTCCTTGTCCGGTTCAACAGCTTAAAACTCAGTCTTCAAAATCAAACCAATGGGAATGTTTCTCAAGGCTCCAAAAAAATGCCTGCACACATGCAGAATCCAGAAAATAATGACAGAGCAAATTTCCATCTTGTGAGGAGAACGCGGTAGCTATTGTTGAACTGTGATGCGGAGGTTTTCTAACAGATAGCACCATTATTTTCGCAGCCAAGATATTTACTGCAGAATCAATACTTTTCAAGTTGCAAAATCAAACAAGTATTTTATTTCTGTGAAAATAATCGATCATTAACAAAGGTAAACCAACACACTGGGGTAGTCATGACTGAAAAATAACAACGGAAGATATAAACCACAGTTGCTTGCTTTACTCAGACCTGATTACAACTGATCCTCAAGACTACTTTGCTGTAGCTTGACAAATCTAGTTACCCCTTTTCAGCAGGGAAAAAGCATGTTAATATTCTTTATTTCTTTAGGTTCCAGGCACTGCCCCACTTAACTCAAACTGGTAGACGAGGCCTTTTGGCATCTGCTTCTTTTGCAAAGAGAGCAATCCTGAAAGTCCCTGTTAGTCTGTGTAGTTGATTTTTCATCCCAAAAGCAGCACCATGGTGATCCTTGCACAATAAGGTAACGTACAAAGCCATCTTACCATCTGTTAAGCACCTGGATTTGAGGTCAAACACCAGCCAGTCTTGTTCACCTTCTTTGCACTCAATATGGAGGACGTCATGAAGGCTGCCAACAAACTCCAACACGTCTATGAAACCAAGCTCCCTCACACAGAGATTCTCTTTGAAATGTGCCTAGTGCCCGAAAACAAACAAAGAAACAAAAAAGAAGCTTTCGACAATGCACTGAACTGAACCTCACACACTGAGAAGGATTAAGACTCACAACAAGCAATAGGTTGCCATATCTCAGACTATTAGCAAATTTTGGATTATGAGCAGCACCAGCAGCAGGGGAGGTCCATAAAAACAACAACAAAAAGGAATGCTGTTTTTGAGCTTTTAGAGGATACTAAGGAGGAAATGCTAAGTCACACAACCAGTTCTAGTTCAGCAAGCATCTTCTAAGCATTCCTCAGCCAGGACTAAAAAAATTGTGGTCTGCTTGCCCATCTCTCCTCTCTCTTCAGCCAGGCAAGGAATGTCCTGGTCTGAAGAACATCAGTGACAGAGACACATCACTGGGTAACTATCACCTTGTTAGGTGGCCATCGGGATGAATTTTTAAGGCTGGACTTTGTGTGAAAGTGTGTACCATGACAAAAGAAGCTTAAGTAGCAATAAAAGAAAGCTCCACCTCTTAGCCTTGACTCAGTTATATCTTAGATCATCACAGGCATAACACTACTGCTAATTTTAGCAGAAAGAAAGATTCATGCTTGTAGTAAAACTTACCTCAAACTCATCACGTAGCTTGGAAACACGTAAACCATCAGGATACTTGGCTACAACCTAAACACAAAAGGAGACACCATTGGCAGACAGCTGCATACTCAGACGCTCATGCTGACACACAAACACTAAACTGTACATAGGCTCAATAAATATTTGTAAAAGCTGGACATCACAGGTCCTTGTGATGCACACTTATTTGTTATTGGTCCCAGAGGCTTGAGGTTTTGCACTATCACAGCCCTGCTGCAGAGTTTTAATAGCTACCCAGAGCATTAGACTACAATGATGGTTTTCAAGGTGCCTACAAAACGGAGACAGGTCTTTGGAACACACATTCACATCCAGGGAAACCACAGTGAACAACAGAGAGAAGCATCTGTGAAAGATTTGCAACTAACACCACTTACAGTTCGAATTTTTTCCTTGAGGGCTGAGCTTACTGTCCCTCCAGCTCCTTTCTCATACAGCATTATCTTAAAGTCTTTCTCCAACTATAAAGGAAAAAAAGAATCACACCAAGGCAGGAGAGAGGAAGGAATTTCAAGGTTCATGAAAATCTTGTTAGATTAGATAAATCAGTAACGAGAGAACAAACACAAACACTTGCGTTCACACAGGAGATGTGCACGATCAGTAGAATTTATTTGCTAAGGTTAAGAACACTACAAAACAGAGTTGCACATATGGGTTTAGTAAAGGATTTTTTTAAAAAACATGATCACATACACTAGGCCCTGCTATTCAACCTGCAGAGGAACAGACGCTTCCTGATACAGGCCTTCCCTAACCGGCCAGGACTGACTCCATACCCTTAGCAAGAAAGGGCTCCAAACATAGGCACCACCCACCTCTTGCATTTGCCAGAGCAACACTGGTGATACAGGGTCTAATGCAGCCCTTGTGTTCCCACAGGTTCTGGAGATCTTGGAGCACCTCATGCTTTTCAGCTAAGATGAACCATTCCCAAGATTCTCGCTGTCATATTCCTCCTCCATTCTCCCTTCCTAAACCAATCCCTGCATCCTCACCTGCACATACCTTATCACCTTCCTTACTTTATCATTTGCACTTTGACTACACCTTCTTTTTCTAAGCCTCCCTCTCTGGGGGAAAAAAAAAATGAGGGAGGTATCTTTCAAACCTTGCTATCACCTGGAAAAGACTTCTTTCTCTATTGTCCCTGTAGACAGCGTTACCCAGTTGTCAGAGACCTTGATTCCTGCAGTCTCACTCTGAGAATCAACCCTCAGCTCTATCACACGGGTTGCTCGACTGAACAAGACACTTAAACCTTACCTACTGCAGTGGCGGAAACTCCACGCAGCTAGTCTCAAAGAAGAGTTCTTAAGGTCTAATTACAAATAAGCATGCCAAAAGACATCATCAGTATTATCATGGAGAAAGACAATGCTTAATTGACCTTGGATGATTGTAACATAGATCTGAAGACCAGAGACAAGAAAAAAAACCTAGGTTTTGACAGCATACAAAGCTAGATACCAGGCTGGTATGAGTCTCATCATTGCCAGACTCATCTAAAACCAGTACTAAAATTTTTGGAAGAGGTAGTGCATCCACAACACAGTGTATCTCAACAGAAGTGAGAGCAGTAAGAGTCTTTCCCCCAAAGATTAAAACATGAAAGGGAGCTACAGATCCCTTGTCCAGCCACTTACTTGTTTCAGTCTGTCCCCAAAATCCACTACTTGTGTTTCCTCTGGTTCTGACTTCTCTTCTGTGGTCTGATGGAAGCTTTCTGTGTCACAGCTGGGTTCTGGAGGAGGAGTCTCAACCGCAGGGGCTGCAACTAAGACAGTAACTTGGGTTGTTATTCTTTCTCAAACTGATGCAATATTACGTATTAAACAGAAAGAGGAGATATCTAAAAATTCAAGTATGAAAGTACCAGTGCCCTTTTCCTGATCTCTTGTAGCATTCACAGCTATCACATTCATCAGCACACACTAGAGAGGCATCCTGCACTGTATTAACTCAAACCAAAACAAACTCTTGCTCTTGTGAGCATACCAATTAAATCCGTGGCTAGACTGATGCTAGAAGGAATTTTCCCCAGAAAAATCAGGAATTTCACAGGAACTGTATGGAATTTATTGCTCTCCCTCATATCTGTTGTGGGAGCACCGAGAATATCTGCAGCCTCTTCTGTTTTCTTTTGCGGAACATTATAGTTGTGACTTTTAGTCTAGTACTACTAAATTTTCAGTCTCAGAAAGAGCATTTGATAGGCTTTACTGGCCCGTGGAGCAGGTGTTCAGGAGGTCCTTTTAGCTTTGTTACCTACTGCCTGGAATGACTAGGAATTCCAGCCCTACGCATGCTCAGAAGGCCCATATTCTGACTGGGCTAGACATGCCCTCTTCTCTTTCACCTGCCACCAAAACCGGTTGTGGTGGTGGAGGAGGAATCTTCCAGTTAAGCTCTCTGCTATCAAGACAATGCCCCTGTAACAGGCTACACATGCAGCTGCTTCTGCAGTACCCTACAGCCCTTCTATGCTAAATCCGGGAACTGGGACTATTACAGCAGGTGAAAATGCAGCAACCAGTCCATCCACCCAAAACACAGCTGCTTGGCCACAGACAGTGCTTACAAGAACATCGTACTTCCAGTCAAATACACATAGCCTCACCCTGTGGCATCTTTTCCTGCTGTTCTTCAGTTGAGGAGCTCTTCTTGAGGGTCAGCAAAGAACCTGCTCTTGACTGTTCAATTGCAATGATATCAGACACACTACTGAGCACTTCAAGCATGGAGAAAAATCCATATTGCGTGTACTTGAATGGCCGGCCAAAGCGTCTGGAGAAGGCTTTATTGAAGCCTGAGAGCAGAACCGGTGAGGAACTCAGCAGATCCTTCAGCTCGCTCTTCACTGCCGCTGGCAGGACAGGAGGAGTCCTGCCCCTCCGAGGGAACCTCTGCTGATTCCTGGAGCAAGGGAAAGCATTTGCCCTTGGTGCAGCATTCCGTGTCTTAACACTTGTCTTTTGTTTGGCAATCAGTTTTGCAATGTCCTTGGTGGTCTCATCTGCAACAGCTACACAAATACATAAACTATTAGAACCGCTGAAATAGTAAGCCACTAAAAGCTCTGCAGTCAGAACTCTTCCTCTTTTCACTCTTTTCTCTTCTCCCTCCCCTTTTCAGGAAAAGGGCCTCTTTCTAAAGCAAGCACACTAAATCATGTCTGACTTTCAGCATGGCAACCACTCTTCCTCTCCCTTTGCAAACTGGAAAGGATCGAATTTAACATCCAACATCCAATTTGCATCCTCAGCATTACAAATACAGATACAAGTAGGAAGGCCCGTCAAATACTTGCATAGAGGATCACAACAGGAAACCAGCTGCTGCAGGTTTTGTTGGGAGAACGGCTCATTGCCCCCCTCAGCCAGAATCACGGCAAACCCTCACGATAGTTTAACAGTAGCAGGCTGTTGCTGGACTCAAGAGTCCTTTTCAAAACACCCTTAAAGAAAAAAAATCAAGCTACTCTAACCAGTTCACAAAACTGTGCTGTTAACACATTCAAAAAGATGGCCAGGTTGTGCAGCTGTTCTTTATCTAAATTCATCCTCAATTCACAGTCAGAGACAACAGTGTTAGAATCATACAATCAAGCAGATTGGAAAGGACCTGTGGAGGTCATTTGGTCCAACCCGCCCAACTCAAAGTGGGGCTGACTTAGATCTTCACCCGCGTTGAACTTCTTAATCCACTGCCCCTCCATATTATGCCCGCCAATAAAAAGCAAATAGCAAAAAGAGAGGGGATCCCTGGACAAGCAGCTTGCACAGCATCCCAGGAGCTGCATGTCAAAACATACTGTATAGACCCTAGCACCATGGCATCAGTACCAACAAAAGCAGGTATAGTCTAGCCTTGGCGTGGCTCTGCGTGACATAGAGGATGTGACCCACCTAGAGGTCACCCACCTAGAGGTGACCCACATAGGCAAGGTCTTCCTGGAGAGCAGCTGAGGTCCTTCCCGTGCTTTTAGGTGACTTCCTCTCATCTTACAGTAATGCACTATGAAAACGTCATTTCATCCTTCCCAATTAACCCTTTGAACCTACCATTCATGGCCACAACGCTTTCCCTAAGACAAAGTGAGAAGGTTCTTTGATGGAGACTGTTTCCTTCGGGGTCAGGAAGGAAAACTCCAGAACGCAAATGGAGAGAAATAACTAGAAGCCTCTATAGTTTTTCAAGAAAAAAAAAAAAGAGCAGAAAAGCACTAAAAAGCAGATCAAAATCTGGGAGAAAATGCCAAAGCAAGAAATGAAACACAAAGCTATATGAGGAAAAAATAACAAGAGATGTGTGATCAGCTCAGGGATGTGTGTAGCTCAGGGAACTCATCCTGCAAATTCATGCTTTGGAGCCTTGCTTCATGCCAACACGAGGTTCCAAACAACTCCTTCTCCCATACAGAAACAAGACCTCACCTTTCAGGATAAAAGTGCCTTTGCCGTGGAGAGAGACTCTGACAACTTCAGGCATATCCGCCACCAACTCCATCGTGGACTGGAAGCCCAGGTCACGCAGAGGAAGAGGTTTGCCAATCATCGCCACGTACTCTTGCTCCAGCTGCGTTGGGGTTAGCCCCTCTTTGGTAGCTATTAGCAGCGATCTCACCTCCTTCTTCAGCGTGTCCATAAGCTGCGCCTGCCTCGACATGTCTGCACTAAAGGGGAAACAAAAGCAAGCAGAAGATAACTTGTACCGCAGGGACAGAAGCTGCTCAGACGCAGGCAAAAGATTTTCTACTTCGCAAGTGAAAGCCAGCAAGGGGAGAGGGCAACAGGACCAGCTCACCCATTGCCACTACCTACCAACCTTGCTCTTCCCTTGCCTGTGCCCCTAGAGCTGCCACCCCTGGACCCACCACCCCAGCTGAGATC